TAAGTGTAACTGCACCAAACCAGAAGTCCTTCTTCAGTCCGTATCTGCACTCTGGATTGACCTGCAAAGCCCCGAGGTGGATTCTCGGGGTAGACACTCCGATGCTTAAGTCAGCAATAATCGGGGCTACCTTTAGAGTTGAGAAACAAGGAGCTTTGGGTTAGTTTCAATTACCTTTTCGTCATGGCCTTTGGGGGGTATTTATAGGTTTCAATGAGGAACCCACATGGCATGCCAAGCAAGATATCTGGGATCTAATGTGTATCTCCAGACGGCAAGATATTCAGGATTTAATGTGTATCTCCAGACGGTTAATTTGGAACCGAGAATTTGAGAGATATTCAGATGCACGGATATCCATCGTAACTGCTGCACAGCTTATTATAAAGGATCAGATACAGACATGCCTATTATTGTTGTCATGCAACTGTTTGAGCGGGAACCTTTGGATTTATCCTTTACTTGAGCAACAAGGGAAATTACTGTCGTTCGTCCGAGGTTGAACATCTCGGACTTGCCCTTACAATAAGTATAACTTATGTTTAAATGTCTGAATATATAAACTATTATGGATATATATTATATTATAAATGTATAATATCAGTTTATATTATAATTATAATATTTTTAATACATAATTTAACCAACTATAGAATTTTTATCTGTATTTTAAAAAATAATAAGAAGTGTACATTGACGAGAAAAGGAAGGTAGCAGCTAAACTAAACAGCTAAGAAGACGCGGCTACGTGGGACATAAACAGCAATTCTATCCTTATCCCCTCAAGTTTGAAGCTTATTTTTTGTGTCCAACACGCTGTCCAAGCCCCAGCTGCCTGCACGCTGTTCTCTTGAATCCGTACACGAATAAGAAACACTTTTGGCAAGAGATTTCATTAAACCAACATAATTTTAAGTATGCTAGCTATTCGTATTTTTTAATGGTTAATACTTTTTAAAGTTAATTTGTGTATATTTTAAAATTGTTTTAAATAATTTTAAAAACACACTTATATTCATGTCATATGTTAGATGTTATCATTACAATAATTTAGTATATCTAAGAATTGAAACTTTACATTCAAATGATTTCAAGTGGTTTATCTTCAAATGTTAAAGTATTTGATTAGTTGGTTGAAGTTTTGAGCATAACCAATACATTGAAAAACACCTCTCCTCCAATCTCTCAAATCGTAAACTATTAAACAAAAATTTAGTATATATAGAAATAACTAATTAATTATAACCAAAACTAGCTAAACTTAATTGCCTCTCAGAATTTAATTGTGAGCAGGGTAACCCACATGATCTTGATAGGATGTGCACTGAAAGTAGGAGGAAGGGAGAGAAACTTAACCCAATCACAAAACAGGTCACAATTTACTCAGCATATGCGTTCACTTGAATATAACATTATGCAGAATTAGCTTCATCGAAAAAAAAAAAAAAAAACTTGATAGCAACGTCTATAAATGGCTCATTCTTAGGGAGTATAAATCATGCATATGTATGTTTTCTTTTTTTAGTAACCACAAGTAATTTCATTTACATAAGTTGATAAGAACAAGAAAATAACATTTGCAAATAGAAAGGTGTGTAACCTAATTCTATGAATCAGGACTAATTACATTCGAAATTAGAGCAATATACATGTACGTAGTAGAATCTTTCTTCTTGAGTTGTGATTTACATACAAATTTTTTATACACTTTTTATGTACAATTTTAATATATTATTAAATGAATAAATACATATAAAATTATAAATTTTAATAAATTGAAAATAATTAATTATTAAAAGATATAGAAAGTTGTATGAATTTTTTTATTTTGGGTACACGTACGTATGAAAAAAATTATATTTCAATCACTTTTCAACTCTTCATTAACGATCCAAACAAATTGAACATGTCGATAAAATAAAATAAAAGAAAACCACATTCTCAACTATGGTACTCTATTCAATCACAAATTAAACTATAGTTGATTGTTTCTTGTTAATTTTTATCGCATAATGAGTATCTTTCATTTTTTATCTCATTTCACCTGCATATTATGTGATTCAAATTTTGAATTTTTTATTTTCAATAAAAAAAATAATCACTAAACTACTTAAATCGTTGACAAACTATAGTTGATTGTTAATACTTCACTTTCCACCTTATATTTATTAACTATTTCATATATTTGAGTGGTTAATAGCGCTTCATGTCGTTTCGAGAGGTCCAAATTAATGCATAAAAATAAAAAATATATAAAAAGTATGACATGTTAGAAAAACTTGGAGCATTCGATGCACGCATTACAAATTTACAATAAGGATTGGAGATCCTCTCGTGGAAATAGTCCAATGCTCACATTACAAGATATATTAATGTGCTACTGCACCTATAACTTTTTATTTTATTTTATTAATTTGAATTCCATAATAAGAGATAACTTTCTTTTATACCGTAATTAAGTTCATTTTCATGATATGGAATTTGAAATTAAAACTTTTTTACTTCCAATTAAAGATACCATTAAACTACTTAAATTATTGGCATTGCACTTGTAATTTAATTTTAATTTAATCAACAATAACCTTAATGAATTTAAATTCCAAACCTTCATCTCTATTATATATAAGCCTACATATATATTTTCCGCAATTATGAAGTTATCACTTAACATATATATGCCATGTTTTGTTTATGACTAATTTATTATCAAAATTGGGATTTATATGGTACAAGTCGTCATTTCAACAAAAAAAAAAAAATAGAATTTTTGTCTAAAAACTCATATTCTAATTAATTAATATTTT